TCCAAAGTTCAAAACCTAAGCAACTTATCTGCCCACAGGAGGAGGTTACCATCAGCTGACTGCTTGGACTGGGTGTTGAAGGAACCAATGTACAACATCGCAATTTCTCTGAGTTATACCTATGTGATATATATATGTATATGTACATGAATTATCATTTTTAAAAAGTTGCTTTTAGTATTTTCCTCTCCTTTTAGCAGTGTATGAGTCTCAGTTATTTCACATATTTACATACATTTGAACTGTCAATTCTACTAATTTTAGTTATTCTGATATGTGAAGAGTAGCATCTCACCCTATGGTGAGATTTGCATTTCCCTTAGAATAAAAGATGTGGAGGGAAAAGTTATTAAAAAAAAGGATTGCCTAGATACCTTTTTAAATATCTTCTGGTATTTGAGGCTATGCTGCTTTATGATAACTTCAAAAGTTTACTGCTTAATACATATTAGAAATAAACAAAGAAGATTGTCTTCATTTGCAAATGCATGATAGACTGAGAAAAATCATAGTAAGTTGACAATAACCATAAAAAATAATTCCTGAAACTCATAAGTGAGCATAACAAGGTCACACTTTACAAGGTTAATACATGACAGTCAGTTGCTTCCTATATACTAATGATAAACAATGGGAATTTGAAATTTAAAATATAACATCATTTATACTATCACCAAAAAAACCTGGAAAGAAATATCTAGATATAAATCTAATTAATATATGTATGTGTGTGTAAAACTATAAAACTCTGATAAAAGTAATTAAAATGGAGTAATAAATGTTTCAGAATTTCAAGAATCAATAGTGTTCACATGTTAATTCTTCCAAACATGAGTATTGATTCAATGCAATCCCAATCAAAATCTCAGAAAATCATATTTTAGATATCAACAACATGACTCTTAAGTTTACATAGAAAGTAAAAGACTCAGAATGCCTCAAACCATAATCAGAAAGAACAATGTTGGATCAACACTATCCAACTTCCAAAGGACAGCTACAATACAATAAAATTACAATAGTCATGATAGTGCAGCATTTGTAAAAGAACTGATCCTTCAATCAATGGACAGAATATAAATAGAAAAAATATGTCCATACAAGACAGTTAACTTGTATTTGACAAGAAGCACAATGGTCTAATGCAGAAGCAATAGTCTGTTTTAACAAATGGTAGGAGAAAAATTGGAGGGACATATACCAGAAACCAAACACAAAACAAAAACCTGGACACAGTGCTTACATCTTCACACACACACACACACACACACACACACACCCTTGCTAACAACTGGACCCATATCAGTGTTTTTTCCCATTCTTAATCTTTAGGAAAATACTTTTTTGGCTTAAAAGTGAAAATAAATTGCATATTAAATTTATTTTAAGATGGTTAGGTGCACGTGTCTGTAGTCTCAATTACTCAGGAAACCAAGGCAGGAGGTTCACTTGAGTCTAAGAGTTTGAGATCAGTCTGGGCAACATGGAGAGACATCATGTCAAAAACCACATTTAAGATGAGTATCTTTTGTTGAAGCTTCACATCTTTTCTTTAAAATGACAATCCTTCCTTCTCTGTCCTCTCTCTGCTCTGCTCTTCTGTCTCCCCTTACCATTCTCCCCTTTCTACCCTCCTCCAAATATCTTCTTCTAACTAGAGATAATCACAACAATCTGTTATGTATTATTCACAAGCTTTTTATAATTTTACTCCCTATGTGAACCTATGAATTACAATCAATAGTTTTTCATTTTTTAAAAAAATTTAAATAATGTTTTTCCACTATGCCTATTATTTTCATTTCTGAATGATTTATTCAGAATAATTTTTAAAGTTTGTGGTGATAGATGCAAGAGCTTTACATTTATTTTCATTGTTAGGTGCCCAGGCCAGTGTAAGTGTCATCTGCTGAGGTCACTGGTCATTTAGCTGAGATGCTCCTCCTTATGTTATCCACCTCACTCCACTCCTGTAAGGGAAATAATGACAGAGGTTACTCCATTTTGGATGATAGAGGGCATTTTAGAAGTAGACCTGTAAAAGGGCACTGGAAACAATAGTCTTCTGAGAAAAATAACAAGTCTTTTACCAAAATAACAGAATGCAGCTATACAATGTGGGTGGTGGGCCCCAAGACCAGGATGAAGTAGGCAGCCTTTCAAGGCCACGATGAACTGACCAGACCTTCCTGGAATGTTATGTTCCATAAGGAAAGGGACTGATAGGCAGCCAAGTTAAATGAGAAATTGATTCATCACCAACCAATCACAAATACAGTTTCAAGGTAGAATAGTTGGACTAAGCCAGGCAGAGCCCTGTATCATCCCATAGACTTCAGTGATACTATGGGTTTAGGTTTCTAAGCCTATCTTGTGCCAGGAGCTTGCTGTCTTTTCAATAAACCTTGTGTTTGCTTTACTCTTAACTCCTGGTCTGGCATCTTTAACCATCAGTCTCACCAGGACACAAACTTGGGATCAAAATTCGCTATCACTCCCATTGCCTTTTCCTGTGCTATCGTGGGCTTGGATCTTTTACATTTTTTATAAAGCCTCTAAGCACCTTTACTAAGTCTGAACATGTTGCTCTGTTTCTACTCCAGCAACCACACTCCTGTGTAATAACTGGAAAGAACAACAGATATAGGCCTGACTTTTCTGCTTCAGTTGTGATCATTTGAATAGCAGCTTTAGTATAACTTGGGAACTTAATAGAAATGTTAGTTAGTATCTCAGACACCACCTCAAATGTATGGAAATATTCTTTCTTTCTCTTTGGTCTCTGGCAATAGAATATTTAATTTTCTTCTTACTACCTCAGTCATGTATTTACATTTAAAAATATATAAGTCAAAATTCTGAACATTTGTAGCAAGTTAGTTCAGTGTGACATGATCCTGGAAGTTAAAGACCAGTTAGTTAAAATGTCTGTCAATTCAATTCTGCATCTTGGTGATAACTTAGTGCATATAAATCTTAAGAGTTAATTTGCCACTGACTTTGATAAGGTGGAACAATATTTTGTCTTGAGAAGAGTCAGGAGACAGGAAGAAATGCTGCAGCACATCTCAGTGCAAAGGATTGATATGCTTTGTTATAATTGAATTAAACTAACATTATACAAATAGAAGAAAGGAAGGGATAAGAGAGTTTTGCAGTGTAAGGGCAAGTTCAGAATCTTTCTACTTGATTTGTTCATATGTACATTGCTGCAGTTAAAGGTGAGAGAATGATTTTCAAATTTAGGGGTTTTTTTTGTCATTTACTGACTGTTGTAAGTACCTCTTGATTTCATACTACCTTCATCTGTCTAATGCCTTTTGTTTCTGTCAGTGCCTACCATATTAGTCTATGGTTAGTGCAATACTTTGTAAAGGCTCTTGAGTGACTCCTTATCATTTGAGCACTGCCTATAATGTAATGATCCAAATTGCCTCTGGTCTGAGTCTGTGTTGCCATCCTTGAGACCTCTCAGAGAGGCTTGCACAAGTCCTCCTGTGACAGTTGGGGAGAAGGGAAATTAGTCTCTCTGAGCTCAGCGACTCTGATCTGGAGTGCTCTTTGATGATCTATAAATCCTCAGTGGTTTTTACAGGTTTTACTGATGGTCTTCCTGTCCTGTATTTCTAACTATGAATAAAAAACACTGGACACAGCTTTTGCCTGTGGGGCAAAAATGTCTGTGTAGTATAATGTGTTCCAGGAAAAATGAGAAAGAACTCTTCAACTATTCGTCTCTTCATAATGCAAATATTACTGAGAATCTACTTTATCTGCCAGTTACTGCTCTAGGTGGCACAGAAACAGCACTGAAGAAAATTGACAAAATCCTGGCCATTAGGGAACTAAAATTCAAATGTTAAGTGGGTACAAGTATTGAACGAAGATGCAACAAACAGATGAATGAATAAGATATTGGCTAGTGATAGATGGTAGGAAGAATTCATTGTGGATACAGGACAGGTTTTCTTGCTTTCTACTTGGTGATGTGCCCTATTTGGTAAGAAATCAATATGTATGCAAAATAGTACAGTTCAATAAGCCAATGTCATCATCATGAACTAGTATAAAAGGTAGTATAGATAATTTGTTTAGCTGTAAAGTCTCATCTCTGGGAAAAAAATCAGGAAGCTTAGGTCTCCCAGTTTTCAGTCAGGTCCCTAGGACTTACAACATCATAAAAATCCCTTGGGTCATATTAACAGGTGGCTGTTTTAGCATCAGTGAATGTTATTTACCATTCTGTTTTCTGGAGAGGACACTCTGGGCAAAGCCATCCCCAGAAGTCATAATCTGTACATCATGACTTCTCAGAGCAAGGTAAGGCTCATGGCTATGTTTGGATCCCTTAGCTCAAAATTAATTTTGGTCTTTCTTTTTCTTTTTTTGGCAGCATTGGAGTTTGAACTCAGGGCTTTATGCTTGGTAGGCAGGCACTCTTACCACTTGACCCACTCTGCTATACCTCAAAATTAATTCTAAAGAAAGGCAATATCAACAAAATCAGAATTTCTCTTCTGACTTTATGCCTCTAAAATTCATCAGAGCTATTTGCATCCTCCACTGATGAGAATAGAAAAGAGATAACAAGAATCCTCCACTGAAGTCCCCATGCAGAAGGGTGAGCATTGAATTGTATGGACTTTATCTTTTTCTTCAAACCTTACTTGTGGGATCCAGTAAGTCCTTCACATGTCTCTTCTACTCTCTATTGAGACCACCACTGATTCTGAGGTGTGACGGTCAAGGAACAAGTGGAGTAGAAAAGCTGCAGAGCCAAACATGGTCATTAGCTTCCTGAATTATTTCCAATATATTTAAAAAATATTTATCCATATTCATTCTCTAAATCTTATAAAATAGAGAAAAAAGTCACAGAGAAGGGTGGCTTTGAGTTCATCCATCCATTCTAGGTCTTGTTCTCATTATAGTGGGATAGGGTAGAGAGAGGGGACTCTCATTTTCATGTTACTATTTCTGCTGTTCTTACAGATGTGACCTGGGGAAGAATGACCTCAGAAAATTACTCTTCAGTGACAGAGTTTATCCTGCTGGGCTTAACACAACATCCAGAGCTCCAGCTGCCTCTCTTCCTCCTCTTCTTGGGAATCTATGTGGTCTCTGTGGTGGGGAACCTGGGCTTGATGGTTCTGATTGGTCTGAATCCTCACCTGCACACTCCCATGTACTACTTTCTCTTCAATCTTTCCTTCATTGATCTCTGCTACTCCTCTGTTATAATCCCCAAAATGCTACCAAGTTTTGTAAAACAGAACATCATATCTTTTGATGAGTGTATGACTCAGCTCTTTTTCTTTGCTTTCTTTGTTATTGATGAATGCTGCATTTTGACATCAATGGCTTACGACCGATATGTGGCCATTTGTAAACCTCTGCTTTACAGGGTCATCATGTCCCCTCAGGTCTGCTTCATGATGATTATGAGTGTGTATACAATGGGATTTTTGGGTGCCATGGCCCACACTGTATGCATGGTGAGACTCACTTTCTGTGCTGGCAACATCATCAATCATTACATGTGTGATATACCTCCTCTCCTGAAGCTTTCATGCACAAGCACCTCCATCAATGAGCTGGTGGTTTTCATTGTAGTGGGTGTCAATGTTATAGGACCGAGCCTTATCATTTTCACTTCTTACTCTTTGATTCTCTCCAACATCTCCTGTATGCGTTCTACACAGGGCAGGTCCAAAGCCTTTAGTACCTGCAGCTCCCACATAATTGCTGTTTCTCTTTTCTTTGGAGCATCAGCATTCATGTATCTTAAGCCTTCTCCTACTGGATCTCTGGATGAAGATAAAGTATCCACAGTTTTTTATACCATTGTGGGACCAATGATGAATCCTTTTATCTACAGCTTGAGGAACAAAGATGTCCATGTTGCACTGAGTAAGATTTTGAAGAAAAGGTTGCTGACCTAAATATAGGCTGTTTTTCTTATAGACGACAAATCATAGACTATGTGATAATAAAGCTATGGAGAGAACAGCAAGTCAAAATATAAATAATTTGATAATAGAGAAAATTAAGTTGACTACACATATCAGTTGACAAATCAAGGAAATATGACAAAGAAGAGAATGAGCCCCTTATCCTTTCAGAAAGAGTAGAGTAAATTGTTCAGTCTGTTATTCTTTATCTTATTTTTAGATATCACAGTAGTTTTGAGACAAGGTCTAGCTATGTAGTCCAGGTTGGCTTCAAACTCACAAATCTCTGTCTCAGTCTCCTCAGGGATGGGATTACACTATTCCTTCCAGCTCATAAAGATTTAAGTAGAAGAAGTTATATGACACAAACACAGAAATATTTGTGAGTTTTCTTTACTAAGACATCTAAAATTCCTGTATAGCTATTCCATTGAGATGTTGATTATTGGTAGTGTTAGAGTCATTCATTTAACTACTTCATTTTAGATCTCTATTGAGCATTACAAAGTTTTTGTTTGGGAGATTCTTTTGTTTCCACCAAAGTTAGCAAACATAGGAGGAGGACTTTGTCACTCTACCTTCCCTTCTTGCTTTAACTTCAAGAGAATATGGTAAAGAGAGTTCAAATATTTTCTTTGGCACAAAATCTGAGAGGCAGTTAGAATCTTGGCAAGTATGAGGAAAAGAAAAGTGGTCAGTGCAAGTATAGTGTAGTAGAAGAAATGTATAAATTAGGAGGTTTTTGTGGTTCATAGGAAAAGACTGAAGAAATGAAGTTGATGTATTAAGTTTTTTAAGGGAAAAGAATGGATGCTATTAATACACAATAAAATCCATGTTATTTAATCATGCAAAGATTTAGCTTTCTCTCCCCTCTCCTATTTTCAAGCCATGTCTATTTTCATTTTCTATACACCCTGGAGATATGTTAAGGGCTCCATTAGTAATTTGTAGTGAAATCCATTAAGCAATACAATACACTATAAATAACACCAAGTTGCTATGTCCGGCAGCGGAGATGATTTTTCTTGTTTTGCTAAGTTTTGATTCTAGCTTTTGCAAATTTTGTCTTCTATGTTCTCTCAGTCTTAGTTTTGCATGATTCATTTTAAAACCACTATGGTACTGATTAAACAAAATGATACATGTTTAAAAAGTGCTCTCTTATTTTAGTCTACTAAAAATTATCTGAGTGATTCTGAAATGGTTCATTTATTTCCATGTAACTTCCTTAATATCAGCATGTATTTTATACTCAATGATTTCTCACTTGCCCATGGCCTCTGGCAGTTCTGACACAGTTGTCACTACCTGTGCCTGATCATGCTATTGGTGTGTCTGTCATTGCCAATGAGTCAGGAGAATTGGTGGGAATACATGCATGGAATTCATTGACATTTAAGATTCTTTCGTGTGTGTGTGTGTGTGTGTGTGTATTATTTAATACATATGAAGAATTTAGCTCAACAGTTTTTATAAATATAAATTCAATTATTGTAAGTATAATCCAGGACTGATGTATCAAATTATCACATATAGAGAAAGTTATACAGAAAATTTATTTTAAATTTCAAAATAAAGGGAAATATATTTTATTATTGAAATGGTTTATTATTTATTTATTGTTTGATAGATTAATTTTATTGTAGAACAACAATAAAATGTTTTATAGGCCCTGAGAAAGTAAGATACCCAGAAGCAATTAACTTCATCATATTTAATTTCTGAGATATGTGTTAAATAATGGCCCCTACATTCAAAGACATGTACCTGAAGGCAGGATAAACTGTTGAATTCTTGGTTATATGACAATGCTTAGAAACCTCTAACATTATAAAAAATTTAGTTGCTAGGTATCAAGTGACTATCATGCCAGTATATGGTTGGAAATTTTTTTTTTCCTCTCAGTGATACAAGAAAGGATGTCTCGCAAATGATAGTATTCATGTTTTAATAAAATTCTTTATTATTCTTACCCTGTTTTATTAATAGTGGTTGTCATAGTCATAATTGAGTTCCTGAAAATTTATATATTGGTGCCCTACCCCCATTTGCCTCATAAACTGACAGTACTTAGATATGGGGTCTTTAATGGTATGATTATTTCAAAATGAAGATTTTAGGGTGGGCCTTAATGCTATCTGACTGGTATTTTTATAAGAAGAGAAAGTATGAACTCAGAAACAAAGATACCCACCCAGAAGAAAGACCTGGCAAGTCACAGAGAAAGGATAGTCCCTTCTAAACCAGAAGAGAAGACATCCAAGAAACCAAACTTGTGCATACATTGATCCTGGATTTCTCAACTCCAGAGCTGAAAGAAATAAGTTTCTGATGTTTAAGTTACCCAGTCTGTCATTTGTTATGGCAGACCTAGTAACAGTGCCTTTACATATAGTGAGAAAAGCAAAATAGCCAAAAAATCAAAAGCATAGCTAAATCAGAAAAAAAGTTCTCAAACTTTGGAAGAACTTTGATTTTTACATAAAGGAATTTTTTTAGTTAAGTTTCAAAATGATGTTGAATTTTTGGGCAATCAAAATTTTAGGTTTTCCTTCTGTTTTAAAACTTTGAGATGTTCAAAAGACAAGCAATTTACAAAAGGAAAAAAATAGGAGAAGCAATGATAATCAGCAAAAGAATAATGTGAAATCCTGACTCAAGAGTGACTCTATCTTGAAGATAACCACCTAAATAAAATATTGATAAAAGCATTTATATAAAAATTAAATCTAACATTTGTCTTTTGGATGTCTAAAGACCCTCCAAACATCCCAAGTTTATTCTAGATAAAAAGACTTAATTTTAGAGAGGGAGGAAGCAGAAAGCATGCCTCCTATAGTGAAATCTTGGAGAGACACTGGAGACCACACCTTGCAGGCAAAACCACCAAGAAGAGGCAAAACTTTTACCCCTCCACACCTTCAGCTGGCACAGAGAATCTCCACTTCATGTTAAACGGAGAAATCAGGATGGCCCCCAGGCCGCCAGTCGCCCATGCCCAGACAGCTTGGGAAGACATGAACAAGGTGAGCTAAGCGATACTACACGGTACTCCCACAGACAAGCCTGGGTCAGAACAGCATAGACACCTGGACAGACCGACCTCCACCCAGGGAAAAAAGAGAAAGAGGGTGGGGTGCACTGAGCACCAAAGAGGGGGGGAGGGGAATCCATCTTGGAATTGTAAATAAACAAGCCAGACGGGCCAGAGAGGCTCAAGCAGGAGCCAGGGCACACGCCCAGCAACCAGGAGAGGGAAAGCTTGTGAGAGTGGTGGAGGGAGGAAAACTCCACAGGAGAGGGGGGAAGACCCACTTCCCATGTGAACTGTAAATAAACACGCAGGCTTGAGAAAGCTGGTGCAGTGTCACCTCCCCCAGTGTGCTTGGAAAGGGAAAAGTTTGAGGCAGTGGCTCATGCACAGGAGAACTCTAAGTAAACAAAGCCTGCAGGGCCAGGTGAGTGCTAAGCTCACCCCAGAGATTTGCATAAATAATGCCTCCAGCAACAGCAGACTGACAGCAGAGGGCAGGTGAGCCACAGCCGCAGATATCATTCACAGAACTGTCTCCAGACTCTTTTTTCTCTCTCCCTACCTTTGATGAGAAAGCAACTGAACTACACCTGCATGCTGATTGCATTTGAACTTGGAGGTTTTTTTTTTATTTTCTATTTTTCATTTTGTTTTATTTTATTTTACTTATATATATTTTTTCTCTTTCATTTACTTATTTTTTATTTTTATTCTTATCTTTATTCTTTTTATTTTTTATTTTCAATCCTCTCTCTGTTTCTCTAATGCCTTATCAGCTTACGGTTGATTAGTACACTGTCCCTATTTATATCTTTGAAACTTTTTTTGTTTCTTTATTTGTTTTGTTTTTTTTCCTACTTGATTATTTGTTTTTCCCTTTCCTTTAACTTCTTTGCTTTCCATCACCTCTCACCCTTCCATTCTAAATGTCACTAGTGCTATTATTATAAGACAGAAAATATTTAATTGCACACAGTAAAGGGAAAATAATAACACCAAGGACAATGATGGGAAGACAGAAAAAACAGGGAAATCAGTTTCCCCACAGCAAAAAATTAGTACAGGAACCAGAGGGAAATGAAGAAAACAGATACTCAGATCCAGACTCCAACAAAATGAAGGTAAACTATGCCAAAGAACCCAATGAAGCCCACAAGAATAATTTAAAAGAATACATATTACATGTACTCAATGAGAATTTTATAGAGATGATACTGGATAGGGTCAACCAAAATGTACAGGAGACACTCAAGAAATTCCAAGACAAAAAAATAGAGAATTTGAAAAAGCAAAAGAAGAAATAAAGGAAACTGTAGAAGCACTGTATAAACACAAAAGTGAAACAGAGAACACGATGAATAAACAGATAAATGAACTCAGGACAAAAATAGACAACATTAAAGAGGAAACCACCCAGGATATGGAAAACCTCAGAAAAAAGAACAAAACAGAACTGCAAAACAAAACGTTGGTTCTTTGAAAAAATAAACAAGATCGATAGATCCCTGGCAAACCTGACTAAAATGAGGAGAGAAAAAACCCAAATTAGTAGAATCAGGAATGCAAAAGGGGAGATAACCACAAACATCATGGAAGTCCAGGAAATCATCAGAGACTACTTTGAGAACCTATATTCAAATAAATTTGAAAATCTTAAAGAAATGGACAGATTTCTAGATACATATAATCATCCAAAACTGAACCAAGAGGAAATTAGTCACCTGAATAGATATATAACACAAAATGAAATTGAAGCAGCAATCAAGAGTCTCCCCCCAAAAAAAGGTCCAGGACCTGATGGATTCTCTGCTGAATTCTATCAGATCTTTAAAGAAGAACTGATACCAACCCTCCTTAAACTGTTCCATGAAATAGAAAGGGAAGGAAAACTGCCTAACACATTTTATGAAGCCAGTATTACACTTATCCCAAAACCAGGCAAAGACACCTCCAA